CAGCCTGGGGAAACTGAGAGGCCAGCCGAGTCCGGGTGGATGGATCGAACGGCATCTGTGGCCATCTTTGGCTCCGTTGTGGGACAGACCTTTACAAAAGATCATTCCTGCTTACAGCCATCAGCATCTATAACATCTCTTAAACAAACGAGGATAACAGCTACAACAATATTTAATTTCCATTTGGGATTAATAAAGTATTATTGAATTGAATTGAAGTAACCTAAAGAGAACCCTCTAAGTTGTTGCTGCATTGGAGATTTATGGATGATTGGAAACAAACACGACAAAATATTCACACACTCAGCACATGTTAAAGTGCATCCATCCATTCATCCATTTCCTGTCATTAGCTCATGGAAACAACAAGCCCAGGTTGAAACCCAGCCATCCCTCTCACAAGTGACATTCTCAAGATCCTCCTCAGAATACCAAGATGTTCCCAGGCCACAGAAGATGCACAGTCAAGATGCACAGTCCCTCCACTAAGTTCTGGGTCTGCCCCAAGGTTTCCTCCCAATGGGATATAGCTAGAAAACCTCCAAAGGGCGATGCCCAGCAGACATCCCAATCAGATAACTGAACCACCTCATCTAAATCTTTATTTGGAGAAGCAGCAACTCTACTCCAAGCTCCCCCTGGATGGCAAAGCTCCTCACCTCCTCCTCACCTATAAGCCAAGGAGGAAACTCATTTTAACCAGTTGTATAGGTTGTTGTTGTTTTTTTTTTTTGTCACAATCCATATTTCATGACCATAAGGATGAGCTTTCAGCTCATCTCCTCCTTTACAACAATGAACCAAAGCTGTGAATGAGACTCTAGTCCATCAGTCCACCTCTTACCATAACTCAAGAATCCCAGATAACTGAACTCCTCTGCTTGGACCAAGACAAACCCAAACAGGAAACAGATCCCAACTTTTCCCGGTTGTGTTAAAAAGTTGACATTAATAAAAGGCACATGAAAGCACGATGAGGTATTTAAATGACTTCAAAGTTGGTAGCTATAAATCAAATTCAGCTCTTTTTAGTAAAACAGTCTTATGCTGTCATCTGGTAAACTAAAACACAAACAGACCTTTCTGTGTTTTTGTTTTCTTGCTGTTTAACATTTTTTCCCACAATGCTCTGCTAATAAAGAGGCTCTTTGACCATTCATTTAATTAACTCTGCCTTCTGAGAGGAGCACCTGCATGAGATCTCTTGAGGACACTTGACTCCACACCTTTTCACAATCTACAACCAATAGCCAACTTTGTGATGCTTCGTCTCCATGGTGATCACCTTTGATTGACGGGCATGACGACAAGCTCCACCAGCTTCTCTGATCAAAGTCCCCTACTGTGTTTGGCTCTGAGAGTTTGTGGCCTGCACGGCTCACACTGAGCCCATTCATGTAAATCATTTCAGGTAATGACAACACATTTTGATGAATTCCAACTCTCTTTGGTTTGCTAAGAAGTTTGAAGAATGTGTAAACTTGAGTGTGACAAAGCAAGACTTCACTTCTGACCACCGGTCCAGGTCACATGTGGGCTTAACACAACTAAACCTCACGCTCACACCAAAGCCCCTCTGTTTCTAATGGCCATTACTGCCTGTTTGCCATTGTGGGCCTCACAATAGCGATCACGCTGGGATTTTGTGTGGGTCTTGCTGGTAACAGTTATTAGCCCCCCAACAGAAACCCAAAGGGGAAGCGGTCAAGAGAAGAACAAGAAGATTTGGGGGTCCCAGTTGACGGGGAGGTGGACAGGGAGGTGGAAAGGAGGGGAGTGGGCAGGGTCAGAGGGTAACACAAAAGCGGAAATGGGGGGCACAGGGGGAACAAAGGACGGGGCTGGACCGAGATAAGGGAGGCTGGAGGGAGGGGTGGAGGTGCACAAAACACAGGAAGATGAGGAGAAAAAGATGAGGGGATGGAGTGGAGGGGAGATCCACCCCCCCACCCCCAGCAGATGGTGACGGCTTGGTGAACAGAGAGGGGCAGCACAGGAGAAAAAAGATGTTGGCAACACACGAATCATGACTGAAACAGGGAAGATTAAACATGTTCAGGTTGTGACTGCAGCTACAAACTTCAGGGGACTTTCAGCCTCTTTCTTTATTTAGTCAGAAAATGCTAAACAAGCAGGAATATTAGAGATGCTTAAATAAAAGGCAGCAGAGTGCTTAAAATCAGCCAAAGCGTTCCTCCTAAAGGCTCCTGATGCCACGTGTTGGCTTGCTTTTCTTTTATATGAATGTTTCTATTAACTTATATTTTTTTTTACATCAGTGCCCTGAGATGACTTCTGTTGTGACTTGGCACTATATAAATAAACTGAATTGAAAATGCTTGGATTTATGAAAGTTTTGTCAAATCTTTTCGGGCGCGCGCAGAGGGGTAACAGGGAAGCGGCGCATCTCTGCGGGGGCGCGCGCATCGACGCACAGAGAAAAGCTTGAACTGATGGAAAACTAGGCTTAACTTGGACAACTTTTTTTTTTTTTTTTTTTTTTTTTAACAAACACTTAGAGAGTTTTCAGGTAACTTTGACCTGATGTAAAAAAAAAAAAAGCAGCTTTCTTAAATAAAATATTTACCCAAACCGAAAATCACGTGACGTGTTGGAAACAAATGGAGTCTTTGCAGCTTCCGGTTGCTTGTCAGAAATCAGACACTAAAAACAGGAAAACTGTAAAGGTATGCGTGATGTCTTATCTCAGGAGGCGGAAACGTTTGCTCATTTGACCTTTCACCCTCAGTCATGACACCTGTCGCCTCGGGTTACCTGTTTTTGTTGTTGTTGTTGTTGTTGTTTTAGGAGGTTAATCCGGATGCAAACAATACACACCAGAATATAGCCCATGGATAAATACAATGCCACAGTTTTCTCTCCTTATATCTCTCGTTTTTGACAGTTCATCACGCGCAGAGACGCTGCAGGAAGCTTTCTGAGTTTGGACGGAGGAGCAGGATGGAGACAGCTAACAAAATAAGTTATCACGCATTTCAGGTCACATCAATGCAAAGGTAAAAAATGTGCTCAGGAATATATATATATATATATATATACTGTATATGCGTTCAGGACGCAAAGTATTTATTTGTTTGTGTTTGTTTCAGCGACATTGGACGTGTTCCAGCAGATTTTCTTTTTCTCTTGTTATTGTTCCATCACCAAAACGTTATTATTATTACAGGTTTATCTTGAAATTAAATGTTAAGTAAAAACTCAAATGAAGGGTAAGAAAAAGATCATTCCTGGCACTTTCAGGATGTGCTGGGGGGATTTTTGGAGATCTGTCAGTTTTCCTCTCTATCCAATATGGACAAAAACAGAAAATATTCTATCGACGTTTTTTTTTTATGTTTGAAAAAAAAGCATGTCATTTCAAAACGCACATCTTACATAATCTAAATCAAACTGTGTAAATCCTGACTTTGGTAAATCGATCCATGTTAAGATCGATTTAATGTGATAGTGACAGATGCCAATCAGAGACCTCTAATCTCTTCTTCAACTCTCGGTAACCTCTCGGTGCCACCTTTCCCCTGTAGGCACCTCTCCTCTCCTCCAGTTCCTTCACAGAGGACCGGCTCTGTTTCCAGATAAACTTTGGGCCCCCTCCCCTTTTGTCCCTTGACACGTTTATTTCTTCTAAAACAGGCTCCTTTTGTCCTGATGGAGCTTTCAAAGGCTGACGGACGGAGGAGATAAGGACTTCGCTCTCTGCTCAGCCTCTTCTTAAACCATGTTTTCTCTGCTGTTCGTGCTGCTGCAGGAGACAGACGAGCCGGTGCCACGGAGGCCTGACATTAAAGGTGTCGGGTTTGTTCAGCAGGCTCGTGAGAACAACATTAACAGGGTTTTAAACGCGCCGGGACGCTGGCACCCCGTGACGCACAGAGCAAGCGCGGCGCAGGGCGCAGAGAGTGAAAGCAAGTTTTCATTTCAGTGTGTGTGTGTGTGTGTGTGTGTGTGTGTGGGTGTGTTTTATATATTTTTCTTGCACAAATTGGTCGTGAAATAAAAAAAATTTAAGCTCAAGAGGTCATAAAGGAGCTAACTAACAGAGCTGCCAATTTTGTGCGCATTTGTGTTTTCTAATAAAATGTATTTTATTATTATTAACCTTTACATCAGTTCTAAACTAAAACAAATTGCTCGAGCTTGTTTCAGTCTAATGTATAAGAGTATGAGGTTTTAAAGGGAAAAAAAGTCTAATTTAATAGTGGTTTGTCTACAAATGACAGTTATGGAGGGACACAAGGCGCTTGTGGAAGATGACTGCTTGTCACTTGAATTTAGAGTTATTTGTTCAATTGCGCAAGTTTTGAGTTTTAAATTAAAGCATCAAAATGAGTCAAAAATGTGAAGATCGGGGCAGAACAGGTCTAATATAAACGGAAATATTAACGTTTTAGAGAGAAATTCAAATTTTAGTTACATAAATGAAGTGGCTGAGTTTGGAAACGAGTCACTTAAAAGCAAAGAGTCACTCCAATCTGCTAAATAGTAATTATGCTTTAAAAGTTTGCCTTTTTTTTTTTTACACTTTTTTTTTTTTTTTTTTTTTTTTGGCACAAATGTGATATTGCGGCGCTGCATGCGTAAAACCAAACTGGCACCATTGTTCTATTTAAAACAAAGAAGGTGCTCCAACTAGTTTTCCACCAGTGTGAGATTCATAGTCTGATCCGGGATCGGTTTTATCAGTCAGGAAGGGATGAAACGTCATCACCTGCCTGGAACAAGCCGGACCAAGCAGCGCAGCAGCTGAGTGGAAACAAGCCGTCTCCCTGACAAGTGTTTTCCTACACTCACTCAGTGGGTGGAATGCCACCAAAACACACGCTCACTCATCCTCTCTCACGCGCCCCGATGCCCCCCATTTCTTTCCCCATGAAGCCACGCCCCCTGTGCCTCTCCTCATCCAATGGCCGCGGTGCGCAGTCTTCAGCGCAGCTCCCGGTTGGATAAAATCTGCCTTAGTGTCGGCCGCGCGCACACACACACGGCACAAGACGACTGGCAGCTCAGTCCTTCTTCAGCCTGGACACACACTCACACACACCGCCATTCAGAACCACGTCAGGTGGATGCTACAAGAAAATCTGCTTCGGAGCGTGTTTTTATTATTTGGAGCTCCACTGTGGGAAGGTAAGCTCTGCTTTAAAGCTGAATTTATGGGAATCCATAAATCCTCTGATGTACCTCTGGATAGAGAACAATTATTAAACATAAATAACAGAGAAGATATCCTAAAACACTGATTTTTTTTATATTTAAATCATCAAAAGGCCAAATTAAAGTGAGGAGCTTTAATTCCAGATCATCATCATTTGAAATGTTTTGGAACAAAAGATGGTTTAATGTTTATATTTTATCAGAAGACGAAATAAACCCGTAATTTAAGACGTTTTAGCTTCATGTGCTGAGTTTACGCTCTGAAAAAGGTTGTGTTTTATTTTGGAAATGTGTTTGGAAATCAGAAATCATCTTTAAAAATCACAATTCACAAAAGAAAAAAACAAAAAACTTTTATGTTGGGTTTTTAGCTCCATGGGCCCAGAATGTTAGATTTCAAATATCAAACAATTATACAGAATATGAGTTATGCGAGTTTAAGATTTTTTTCAGTTAATTGAAAGATTTTCAAACACTTTTATCAATTTTTTTTTCATATATTTACATTTCTTTGTCATAAACACAAATTGTAAAGCGCGAAAAATCTAATTTTCTTATGTAAAAGTATCTAAAATACCATTAAAACAATTTGAAATAATTTCATTTATTAACTTCAATGTTATCCACACAAAGAATTCGTTTCTAAAATTAAGAGTTTTATTAAAAGCTTAAAATGGTTTAAACTGGGATACACTTCTTAAATTTATGGCAAGCTGATTAATATTTAAATAATTGCAGCAGAACACAAGTTACAGGCTTATAAAATTAAAAATAAACAGTAATGTATACTTTTTTCAGCTTTTTCCGTTCTTTAAAATAAGACATTATTTAAAACGATTACATAAAAATTCCCAGCAGTCAAATATTTTGTTAAACCCAGTAAATTTGTGTACAAAAAGAACAGTTTGTCTCCTGTTTTTGCAGAATACTGGTGTCTTTTTGTTGTGGACACAGCTGAATTGATTTCTGAGTTGCTTTATTTGTCTCAGTTTGACACAAATTCCTAATTTCTCAGCGTTCAAAGTCATCCTGACAGAACGCAGCAGCTAAAGCAAAGCTCACACACGACATTCACAAGATTTAACAGCTTTCAGAGTTTCATTCCTTTACTCTTTTCACATATATAATGACATTCTTACAGTTTTTGTGTTGTTTTAATTTTCATTTTATTTGGACCTCACCATGCCCTAACAGTGTTGTCATTTAAAGGTTTGTAGTTTGAGTTTCTCTTCTAAAGCTTGTCTTTTTAATGTCGATTTAGATAAAAGCATTTGCCGAAGTGAATTTTTTTTTTAAATGCCACATAATCAGTTTGGTTTAAAATGAGTTTATTCAAGTTTGAAGATTCATCCCTGTAAGTTTTCTCCTTTAAAGATCCCATTTTTCTCTATATATTTCCAGCTGAGGTCAGATGAACAGAATAAAAAGCAGATTTATTCTTTTTTTTTTTTTGCAGTTTATGAATCTATAGAATGTCTGGACAAGATGTTCCTTGATGTTTCACCTAGAGGTGTCAAACTCAGCTACGAAAAGGAGCCAACATTTAAAATCTTTGTCCGAACCAGTCCACTTTCAGCTGATACATTAATTCCAGTCAGATCCATGACATCTTTTCTTGCTTGCAGGTTCATCAACAACAGTTTGATCTGTCTCACTTGACGTTCTGTTGCTCTTTCCATCAGAATCAATAATGATAGAATGATCCAGCCGTCTTTCTGGCTTCAAAGTTAGCCATCTGGCAAGAGAAGTCTATACTAAATGATGCTTTTTAAAAAAAAAAAAAAAAAAAGGCTAAAATTAGAAGAGATACAATATTTTACATTTAAATTATCATCTTGGTGGACCAGATTTGGTCTGTGACTCTTGATATTGACATATGTGATGGCTTTTAAGTGCCTGGCCTTGCTGGTTTTTTTGCTCTCTGTCCCATTAATACACAAATAATCAAAACACTGACAGAAACAGGAGGTTTTGGAGACAGCAGTGTCAGGCAACACTCTCATCCCTGGCGTCCCAGCCGACTGCTCGTTCTGTGCGAGGGAGCACGTGTGACAAAGAGTTTCGTGTTTCCTGTCGTTCTGCAGTTTGAGTCCGGCGCTGCACTCGGGGGCACACTCATGTCAGACGAGGCGCAGTGACAGCACTTTGCGTGGGACAGCAGAGGAGGAGAGCACCACGTTCAGCTGGTGGAACAAGGACCAAACACTCAGGGATATGTCCAGTACCTCTGGAAGAGGTAAATACACAACACGAGGCGTCCTGCTCTGTCCTCTTGATGCTGCTGGCTGATGGGAATAACTAAACATACACGAAGAAGATGAGAAACATAAAGAAGATGATTCTTCACTCCTGAATTTAAACAGGCTGGATCAGATCTGATTTTGTGTAGATTCAAAAATAAATCTGTAAACTTGGAGCACGGGCCGTTAAGTTGACTTTTTTTAGAAGTTTGAAGGTTTTCACACCGTTTCAGCAAACGTTCAGCTTTAAGGTTCAACCATGTTTCTGTGCCTGACCCCTCAGACACAGGAATCTTTCAATTTCATCTTTAATATTAACTTTGAAACATATTAAGCTCATGATCACTCTAAGAAATTAAAACGTAGCTTTTTTATGCCAGCTGGCTTTATTAAATGTGAAACAATAATAATAATAATAATAATAATAATAATTAGAAACGTTGTTGTAGATGGTGGATTCAGAAAAAAAACCCACTTTGTTGCAAGGCCAATGTGCTCGTACAAAAAGCACATTTAATTCAGTGAAAGGATTAGTATGTTTTAAGTAAAGTGGCAAAGTTGGAATAATTAGCAGCATAAACGCTCGTGTTGTAGCTTTAATGCTTTTTTTAATTATTAAAAATGAACTAAAATCATTCAATTTGTGTTCAAATCCTTGTGTAACTGAAACACATTTTATTTTTCGAGCGTAAACTCTCAGTGTTTTCTACAGTTGTTCTTAGACTTTTGTAGATTCGGGGGGATAAAATGTTTTTGGCATTTGCCCACAATCAGTTTGTAAATGAGAGCCGTGCAGACCATCCATCGCTTCATATTCATGCCTAAAACTCAGTTCTTTTTAATTTTTTTGCATTTATGAAAGTAATATCCACTTCTTATTCACCCAAGGTTACTCTCTGCACAGCTTTTCAATTGGTCTGTTCAGCACTTGAATCAAACTTATCAGAACTTGTGGTCCAGTTCGAAGATTAATCTCTAAAAGTTTAACATGTTATTTCTGAGCAACTCTTTTAATGGAATGGAACAAATGAAGGATGCATTTCATTTTATTTATAGCTTGTTTACAGATTTTTGGACTAATTTTATCTTTAAGCACAATATAAACCTGCCTATCTATCTGTTTATATGTTGTTGTTTTTTTGCTGTGCATGAGTTGTTCGTGCGCCTTCCTTGGCCCTTCCACCTCCCCCTCCCCGGCTCTGCTCGGGCTTTAATATCCTGCAGGTTGATGAAGCTTGGCGGGGAGATTTTTCTCCACACTCGGCTGGTGGCGTTAATAGAGGCTGCCCTCCTTCGTCCGGCCACCGTTTGATGTGGAAATGAAAGCTGGACGAGGAAGAAAAAGCCCTGAGAGAGACGAGCTTTAACTCAATGGGTTCAGTGAGAAGTGTTTGAGCAGATACAGATACAGTGGAGGTTGTTGTCTGCAGGCTGTTTGGACCCACAAGATCTCCATCGGCTGTTGTTTTACCAAAGCTTTATGCATTAATTTAGGTAAAATTTTCTAAACGCCTTTATTTCATGTTGTGCAGGGAAGAAGCTTTTCTAGTTTGATGCTTACACGTAAAATTGCTTGTGAACATTTGGACGTATTTAAGCTTGTCAGCAAATAAAAAGTCGACTCCAAATAGGTTTTGGGCTTGTAAATGAGAACCGGAGAGCAAAAGCCAGCAGGTATTTTTTCCAATGAGGTAATTAGCTCATTATAATGATCAGTCTGCAAGAAGAGTATTGTTGGCTGCAGTTACATTAAACTTTTATTTGTTTATATTTTTAGCTGAAATTCTTCGACAGATTGAAACGAGTCTGATCAGGGTTAAATAAAAACTGAACGAGATGTAAAAACGACCGTCTTTCTAAATGTTCTCTCAACGTCACCGATGATTAAAATTGCTGGGGCTGCGGTAGCTCGGTGGTCAGTGTTGCGGCCTCATGATCCTGAGGCTGAGGGTTCGAGCCCAGATTGCATCAGAAAGGACGTCCGGTGTAAAACAATCGCCAAAATCTATCGTTTGAGTTGGCTCGACGTGGCGATGCCTGCAGACGCAAGAAAAGCAACAACTCTTTTTGGTGCTTTTATTTATGAAAACATCAAACTACGCTGTAAATGCTCCACTGAAAATTAACCAAGAAGATAAAATTGTCATATGACATGTTGCAAAATTTTATTATAATAATTACGTGAGCTAAATTATTATTTTTTTCTTCTGACAGAAGTGAGGATTTAATTAACCAATAAGTTTATCTGTTAAAAAAAAAAAAAGTTTAAATCAGCGACTTGTGACTGTGTGTAAACTGTCTTATGTTCCTTGACATTTATAAGTGTTCATCCCCCCTCCTCCCCCAGGTCATGGGGGTCTTAACCAACTAGGTGGAATGTTTGTTAATGGCCGTCCGCTTCCGGAGGTGATCCGGCAACGCATCGTAGACATGGCTCACCAGGGCGTGCGGCCCTGTGACATCTCCCGGCAGCTCCGGGTCAGCCACGGCTGCGTCAGCAAGATCCTGGGACGGTGAGGGGATGGGGAAAAAAAAAAAAAAACTGGTGTTTTTTGACCTGTTTACTTATTCAGGACTCTTCAGAGCTGTGAGAGGTGACTAAAACCTGCCTTGGTGACCCTCTCCTTCAGATACTATGAGACAGGCAGCATCAAGCCTGGCGTTATCGGTGGCTCCAAGCCTAAAGTGGCCACCCCGAAGGTTGTGGAGAAGATCGCAGAGTACAAGAGGCAGAATCCCACCATGTTTGCGTGGGAAATCAGAGACCGGCTGCTGGCAGAAGCGGTGTGTGACAGCGACACGGTGCCCAGCGTGAGCTCCATCAACAGGTGAAAAACTGAACCAATATGCAGATGACAACTAACCTTATTCTCTTGTCGACATCGACACACTACAAAACATTGAAAGGTCATTTTAGAGGTTAAATAATTCTTTGGTTTCAGAATAATTCGAACAAAAGTCCAACAGCCGTTTAACCTCCCCCTGGATGGAAAAGGTCTGAGTCCGGGACAAACGTTGCGTAAGTTTATTTGTCTGTATCACCGTACATTATTGTGGGATGCCAAAAGATTAAGCTTAAAAACTAGCAGTTGGCTCAAAGGTTTAGGATGATAGCTCTGATTCCCTATATCTGACTTTGATCTGTGTCCATACCTTTGGTTGTTTTTCAGTCCCCAGCTCCAACGTCACCCCTCCAGAGTCGCCGCAGTCAGACTCTTTGGGCTCCACGTACTCCATCAACGGCCTGTTAGGCATCCCCCAACCAAACACGGACGGCAAGAGGAGCCACGATGACAGTAAGAACCGGATTAAATCTATGTCCCGATATTTACGGAGCGCATTACTATCCTCATCAAAACTAATGTAAAGAGTCACATTGGAGATTATGTTCCAAGTTTTTAATTTCCTTTTATTGAGCTGTGTAACTCCTGCCTGCTGGATATATTTCAAGGATTCAAGAATCTTTATTTGTCATACGCACCACATGTGGTACTTGTGGTGGAACGAAGTTGTGTACACAGGGTCCCAATTACAGCTAATCAACGTATTAAAATGTAAAGAAAAACAATAATCAGATCTAAGATTTGAACTAAGAAAAACTTTAATAAAAACACACTAAGCACTAGTAGTATATAAAAAAAAACAATACGCCAAACAGCAGCACGAGCATGAGTCTGTGAGCAGATGAGCACGAATGAACACAGCAGCATGATGCGATTTTCAGTGATTATCCTGGTTAGAGATTCATGAGTCTAACAACCTCAGGGCCTTAACCTCCTGCCTGAGGGGAGCAGGGCAAAAAATGTGTGTGCTGGGTGAGTGGGGTCCTTCATGATGCAGGTGGCCCTCATCCTGCTAACTGCCAAGAAAAGATGCCGTAGTGTTTAGCTCTGCCTGAACATAGAAACAAATAAATCTGATGGTGACACACTGGGTTTGAATACAAAATGTAAAGCAGGATTGCTTATTTTGTACGGTTCAAACAAAAGCTGAGTATCTACCGCATAACCATTTACTTATTGACCATTCGGTTGAACAACCAGAGCAGGAGTAGTGTTTCTTAAAGGGAGGCCTCAGACACAAAAACTGCAACGTATAGGACGACAAAAGGTGTTCAAACAACGCAAAGTGCAGAGAAGTCGTTTCTCTTCATGTATTTTAACCCTTCTGCTGTTCTTGGGTCAAAATGACCTACAAGTGCTACTGACCTACAGTGCTAAGACAGAGACCAAGTCATTGTATTTAAGGATAGCTCAAATTGTGAGTACAACCTGAACCATCAGTGCTGAGCAGCATCCAAAGTTTAACTTGCCAAATTAAATCTGCTGACTATGTTAAAATCTGCTACCGAACAGGGAGCTCCGTTTTTAAAAACCACAAATCAAGAAAATGATTCTAGTCTCCCGCTGTCCATCGTCCATGTTGTGCGCAGGCGATCAGGAGAGTTGTCGGCACAGCGTGGACTCTCAAGGCAGCGGGGGAGTCCCCAGGAAACAAATGAGGGTGGATCATTTCTCTGTGGCCACGCAACATCTGGAATGTGGCTTTGATCGTCACCACTATCCACCAGAGTCCTTCAGCTCCACCTCAAGCAGCAAAACAGAACAGGTAGCAAAGGACACGTCCTGGGCCACTTAGGCAGCATGCATCTTAAATTTCTTGTTCAATCTGTTTATTTTCTTTTGCACAGTGCCCTGAGACGACCTCTGTTGTGACTTGGCGCTATCTAAAGCCTGAAAACCAGTTTGTAAATGTGTGCACTTTAGCTTTAGACTGAAAGTTAACCTCTGTTTGTCGTCGCCCAGACTTTGTACCCGCTGTCCCTCATCAACGGGAGCCTAGACGAGGCCAAGAGCAGCCTCTCAACGTCCGGCTCCGTCATTGGACGAAATCTGTCGGCGCACCAGAGCTTCTCCGTGGTCACTGGTGAGACCTTTAATGTCAGTCGGTGTATTTTAACCCACAAAACCACAGGAATGAACACTGAAGTGTCAGCATACGTCAGGCAGAAGAGTTTTCCGCTCACCTTCATCGTTCATTGCTTTTTTTTTTTTTTTTCAACCACGTTAGTTTTGTTCATTCACGTTCATGATTTGTTTCCATTTTCTCACTTTGCCCCGCTTGCACACTGGCTGCCGCGCCCTCAGAGCCCCTACAGACCATCCCGCTCTGTCTGAAACAGGAAATGCCCCCAGAGGTAACCAGCACAAGCCCCTCACAAAGCATGGCGGCCATCGTGGAGCTGCAGAAACCCGTTTCTGTCAGCGGCTGCAACAGCAGCACCAATAATCATCATTTCCCCAACTCCTTCAACTCATTTTCCCATCATGCACCAGTGTACGGCCAGTTCAGCAGTCAGTCTATCATCTCAGGTAACGCAGCCATTCATCTCATTTATGTTCACAGGAGAGCATGAAAGCAAGGGCGTTTCTGAACGTTTTCTCAATTCTTGAGCAAGTAAATTAATTAAATACTTAGTATTCCTTGATAGAATGCATATCACCCGCTACTTTTTCATGCTAAAGTTTTAGATTAAAATCATCTTGTGTGAACAAATGAAGGAGATGTAGCAGTTTTGGTGAAACTTTGGGAAGAAAAAAAAAATATTATGTGCCGTCTCATGCAATATTAATAAAAATAAAATTATGTTGGGCTCCCTTCAGGTCCAGGCCTCCCTTGCAAAATCGATCAGTGCTCTCAATGGAATATGCCTGGTTAATAATAATAATAATAATAATAATAATAATAATAATAATAATAATAATAAAACATTTTGAGCTGTTATGCTCAGAGCACGTGTTGTGAATAACCCCACACAAAATTTTAGCTCACCGTCTGTGACTTTGACAGAGTTAGAGCCATTTTTGTGTTGACTCAAGTCAGTTAGCTGTGGGGGCCATCTTGAATGAAATTGACTCCAAAGATGAATCAGTTTTAGATGCACATTCATTTATTACTGTCTACAGTTTTCATTCACATCTATCCAGTGTGTCATGAACAATTTTGCTAACAGACAAATGCAGTATATTTTTGCAGTTAACGCTAAAGTTTTGAGCAGTGATCCTGCTCAACGTGTACTTTTTAAATTATGTCTTGAGGATCACTCGGCTATTACCACACCAGATTTTAACCAAACATCTGTAAAATTGACTGTTTTATGTATTTTTGTGTTTTGTAATATCAGTTGGCTGTGGCAGCCATTTTATATTAGCGTTACTTCAAAAGTTAATCAGTTGTAGATGTGCATTCAATTATTTACTTCTGCAAGTTTAATTAAAATTCACCCATGGGTTCAATGGATATTTTGCTAACAGACACATGCAAGCAAAAACATAAATGTCCTACTTTACCTTTTAGTGGCGGATGATATTTCTCCCAGATTGCTCAACTTTTTGCATCACGTGCTGAAGTTAAAATGTATGTTCTGTGTGTCTTCAGGGCGTGACATGGTGAGCTCCACCCTGCCAGGGTACCCACCCCACATCCCCTCCCCAGCCCAGACAGGATACTCCGCCTCTGCCATCACAGGCATGGTGGCAGGTGAGTCCAGCAGAGAGGGGCATGTAAAATAAGAACTGCATCCGGGCCTGAGCGAGTCAGACAGGTATGGAGAGAAGGAGCGGGGGGGGGGGGGGGGGGGGGGGGGGGGGGGGGGGGCAAACTCAGATGGAGGTTTGTAGATTAACAGGGAGACAGGCTGAGTTAATCTGTCGCCCTGCCAGGGTGCTGAGCTGTGTGTATGTGCGGGTGTGCGCGCGGATGCACACGGGCCCGGGGGGGGGGTAAGGGAAACAGGCTGGGGGGTTCCGCCCTGCTGCCCACACCCCCTCATCCAGACACCTCTGACCACACATCGCCATGGGAACCAGGGGGCCCAGGAGGGAGAGATGCAGGGTGGGCGGGAAGGGATGTAAAGTCTGGACGAAGAGGAGGAGGCCTTTGTGGTGTGTGTCAGAGTTTGTGTGTGTGTGTTGAAAACAGTGCACTTGTGTGTGTCAAGATGGCTGCGTGTGAGCAAGAAAGAGTGTGTGTGTGTGTGTTTTTGAAGTCTGCCCTCCGAAGCGCGAAATGAGAGGGTCTGATTTATTATTTTTCTAGTGGGCTCACTGTGAGGAAGCGTTGATACACAATTACTGAGTGAAGGAGGAGGATGGTGGGTGGGTGGGGGGTGGGGGGTATATGGAGGGAGAGGAAAAGAGTGTGGTGGGGGGTGGGCTCGGGGCTTCATTCCAACCCAACATAATTACCAATTAGATATTGGAATGTTTAAAAAAGAGTGAAGTAAAGAAGGAGGAGTGTTGTTGAGGCTAAAACAGGAAGTGCCGGATGAACAAAGGAGGGGAGTGGAGGGGGGGGGGTGTTCAGGGGGCAGAGCCAGAGCGACGCTGGAGGAAGCGGGCGCACAGGCTGGTTGTATGTGCACGCACCACTGGGCCGAGGGATTTTACCCTCAGCTATCCACCTGCACCGCAGATTAATGGTTTACATGCTGCACTAACTGCTGGTGAATTATGAGCCAGGCCCGAGCAGATGCTGGTACATGGACAAACAGCCTCAGCCTCGCCTTCTCACAACAAACGTCTTCATGATTTTTATCTGAAAAATGTGAAGCCCTAACCTTTCCCTTCTCTCCTTGTCGTTGTGTAGCAGGCGCAGACTACTCGGGTCAGTCCTACAGCCATTCGCCCTACACCTCCTACAGCGAGGCCTGGAGGTTCACCAACCCCAGCATACTAGGTGAACCCAGAACCCTTCATTCAATCATTTATCAGGAGCTGAACATGACCTCAGCAGGGAAAGACAAAGTGTTGACATACTATTTTTATTCGTGCACACAACTTCCTATGGATTTCCAGTGAATTTGACCTTGTCGTTCAAAAATAATCAGGCGTGACTTGAATTTAAATGAACAACTGTGTCAGTCACATGAGTGCTGCTGTGTTTGTCTGCTGTGGAAACAATTACAGTGATTGTGAAAGAGCTGTACTTGAGTTCAGCACGACCTTGATTTATTTGTCTTATTTTGTCCCCTATGAGTTGCCATCTATAACATTTTCATTCACTTTTGGGTTTGCTAACAAATCAAAGTAAAAGTGGGCAAATGGCAAAGATTTAAAAAAGCTGAAGTCTGCAGAATTTTGACGTTTTGGGAAGTTTTTTTTTCTTTTAATTAACGGTCATGTTATTATATTTGTGTGACCAATTTAACATCCACTTGATAGTGTTCCTGTTTCTTCCTTAATTATTTTCGAATTGTTCATCAAAATGTTCTACTTGATTTGGAATAATGGCTTGTCAAGTTTATGATTTTTCCATATAGAAATACATCAATATCTCTTTGATTCCTTCTAGAATAATATTGTCTGAAAATATTTGCTCAGTTTTTGTCTTTTTATGCTCCTTTTGAACTTTTAGCTATTGTCTTAACTGATTTTAGCAGCTTTGCTAACTTTAGATGTAATTACCGCTACAGTTCTGCTAATTGTATTACCGTATTTATCGGACTATAAGGCGCACCAGATTATAAGGTGTATTAAGCGAAACAAAAGAGTCAAACTTTATTCAACTCATTCACAATAACCACATCAAATCAGTTCGAGGTCAGTAAGAACCAGAGTTAATACATAAGGTGCGCCTGACTATATTGCTCACTGTCAATTTTTTAGAAAATTAAAGGATTTTAAGTGCGCCTCATAGTCAGAAAAATACAGTATTTATATTTATTGATTTAATTTCACTTTAAGCTCCAGTTTTGTTTAAGTTTTACTGTTTTATTAAATTAAAAATTATCTAACTTCTTGTTAGTTTTAGCATGTATTTTGCCATTTTCGTTTTCTTTGTTTTTAGCTAAGGTTTTTTGAACATTACTTTTTAGCTACTTAGTCGTTAATTTAAGCTTTTAACTATGGTTTTGTTATTGTTGAGCTAACTGTACATTTTAGCTTTGGTTTTTCTCATTTTAGTATTTTTACAGCGTTGCTAATTTTAACTTGTTGAACTAATTTTAGCTCATATTCTGCTTGTTTTAACTTGAGCAGTTTCATTAACAGTTCGTTTTTCAACAAGTTTCAGCAAAGTCACCATGCCGCCAACAATCACACTTCAGTTTCACAGAACATTCATTTTAACTACATTTTGTCTGAAAATAAAACAAATACAGCGCTTTAGTTTTAAACCCACAGAATGAGCGTGACAAAGACGTGCGTGCTCATTAATTTCAAGTTTATAACTAATAAACAGCATTGTGAGCCTATCCACATTATGATTTTTGTTCATCTTCTGTTTTTATTCTTTGAAATAATTATGTCATAAGTTCCAACAATGTCCAGTGAGGTCATCTGGATGATTTCTTTTTTTTTTTGCTGAGATGTTTTGGACTTCTTCAGTCTGAGGAGCCATAATAAAACTGATTCTCCACAAACAGCATTCTTCATAGTGGGAAAAAAACCCCAGTTAAAACCAGTAAACCAGAGGTCATTTTAGCCCCAGCAAACTGTTTTTTCTTCCCCCACTGTTTGTGGATAATGTATTTGTTTGGTGGCTCCTCAGATTGAAGAAGTCTGCTGGATGACGGATGAAACGTTTCGGGAAAAAAAAAAAAGGCTGAACATTGTTGGATTTTATACCTGGATTATTGAGCATGAACTTTGGTGGCATACGTTCTCAGCTTTGAGAAGCAGGTGCTTTAACTCATCATCATGCATAAAGGCAAACTCATCTAATATATAAAGTAAACGAACATCAAATAAGTTATTATTTTTATTTTAAATACGAAGAAGTGAATTCCACCTCTGCACCTGACAATAAAACCTCCTGCACTAATATTGCTTTTATAATCAAACCTTCCTCCATCCGTCTCCCCGCTGCAGGTTCACCTTACTACTACAGCTCAGCCTCCCGCACAGGCCCCCCCTCTGCCGCCGCCTACGACCACCTCTAACTCCAGCTGACAGGGCGGACGCTCACCTCACAGAGGACGTTCACACAAGACTGGACAACTCGTCCCACAGCGTGAAAGTCAGAACTGATTGAACTTCAGGCTCAGCTGAAGACCCAGCTGCACATCTGCTTTTTATTTTCATCGTTATTTATTTGACACATGTTGTGCAAGATGCACGTTTACACACCCAGCCTGCACAATATTAGTTTATCTTTAAAGCTGTTTTGGCTAAAGACTTTTTTTTTTTTTTTTTTTTTTGAGGGGACACTTCTGTAGCTCCTTGGATCATCTGGAGGATATGCAACTTTTTACTGAACTGTTTTGTTTACATTTTTATTTCTCCTTTTTTTTTTTTTTTTTTATCCAATCAAGTGCGGATTCACTTACAAACAGAGCTTTTTGATTCATTTGACTGAAAACGAAGATTTTCTGCAAAAAGTCTCACATGCAGGACACAGAAAGACAAACACATGTCCGGTTGTCTGTATGTACAAAGTGTAAATGATGAATTCCTTATGGAGGAGGAAGGGGGTGCAGTTTAATGACAAATGGTGAATGGGGGGGTTGTTTTGCTTAGATGATTTGAGTTTTGTTGTCATGCTGATGTTCTGATGTTTGGTAAAAGGATAAAAAAAAAACGGTGACTATTTTTTTTTACACTGTTAATATTATTGCAGATGTAAATAAGGAATTTTGGAAGAACTATTTTAATAAAAAGCATGACAAAATGGCATATGACTTGTGTTTTATTATTATTATTATTGTTATTATTATTATGAGCCTCTTTGGCGCATAGAAGGAGGACGCGCGGTCAGTGATCCTGAAAACTCGCGCATCTGTCCAATTTGCCTCCTTTTTTTAAATTTTCTGCTTCATGTAGTTTTATTTGCAGTCGTTCCGTCCCTGTTTGCGGCCTCATTACAGCAGCGCGTTAACGAGGCCACGGTTCGGCGGCGGCGCAGCCCACCTGGTGCAGACGCCGCCGCGCGCGGGAGGCGGCGGGGAGCGTGCACCTTCAGTGCATCTTATTCGACAAACAGCTCAGAAGAGCCCAGGAAGCAGCAGGACGACGTTAAAGTGGGAAAGATAAAGTTTTATGCAGCTAATTAATGTAAAAATTAAACGCTAGACCAGTGGGTCCCAAAGTGTGGGCCGGGACCCCATAAAGGGTTGTCAGACGCCAACTGCTGGGTTTTGAAATCATTTTTTTGAAAAGAACAAAACATGCATATAATGTTTTTATATAGTAATATTATATAT